CCCAGGCGTGTGTGTGCGTGGCATGCCTGTGTGTGCATGCATGCCTGTGTGTGCATGGCCTGCCTGTGTGTGCATGGCCTGCCTGTGTGTGAAGAAGGTAGAAGCCAGGTTTTTCACTCGCAGCTCTTATTCCCCAGAGGCCATGAACTAGAGCATTTAGGTATGTGCACCTTGGAGTTTGTAATGTTTGTGTTTTAGAAAGTCAAAAATGCAAATCCTAAAAGCTAAGTGAGAACCAGAACTCAAGGGGTCAGCAGGTGGTGTGGTAGCTAAAGCACTGGACTCCCATGGCCAACGCGGTTCGAGTCCTGGACCTGGTGGATTTCTTCCTCTCTCTCTCTCTGTCTTTCTCTCTCTGTTCAAATTTTTTTTTAATAATAATAATAATTAATTAATTAAACAAATCATTTATAAAAAGAAAACAGAACTCAAAGACATGAAATCAGTTACATTTTTTTCTTTCCTTTTTTTTTAAAAGTTAATATTTATAACTTTCACATGTACACACATACACACAACACACACACTCTCTCGCTCTCTTTTGTAGGTAATATTTTAAAATTAAAATATTAGGCTCAGGGCCCAGAAGGTGGCATGGTGGTTAAGGTGGTAAACTCCCACATGGCTAACCGAGGTCTGAGTCCTGGGCCTAGTGGCTTGCTTTCTCTCTCTCTCTCTCTCTGGTCAAATTTTAAAAAGAATAATATTTATTTATTAATCTATTTATTAAAAAACAACTCAAACATATATAATGAGTTACATTTTTTTCTTTCCTTTTCCTTTTTTTTTTAGGTCAGTAATTATACCTTGCACATACACACACAAACACACACACATTTTTTTTTTAATTTTTAAATAATTATTTTATTTAACTCTTATTTATTTATTTATTTTAACTTGACCAGAGAAGGACAGAGAGAGAGAGGAAAAGTGAAAAAGCAAGCTGCCAGGTCCGGAACTCAAACTATGGTGGGCCATGTGGGAGTCCAGCACCCTTAACCACCACGCCACCTGCCGCCTCCCACACACACTCTTCTGTAATAATATTTTTAAATTAAAATGTTAGGCTCAGGGGCCAGAAGGTGGTATGGTGGTTAAGGTGTTAGACTCCCACACAGTCGACCATGGTTCAAGTCCTGGACCTGGTGGCTTGCTTTCTCACTCTCTCTCTCACTTTCTTTCTCTGTTTCTCTCCTGTGAGAGAATGTACTCTATAGCAATTTTTAAAATAATAATAATAACAGTAAATAAAACAATTCTTTTTTTTTTTTTTTTTTTTTTTTGGAGCTGCAGAGAGTGCGGCTCATCTCCTCCACACGCCTCTGAATTCTCAGGTGAAACCCTGCAGCCCAGCCCAGGGGCATCTACTCCCTAGAAACCATGAGGCCTTTGTAATATCCGGTTCCAAAGTCAAAAGCGCTGGTTGCTTGGTGAGTATTAGGGAAACGAGACTGCCGAGAGATTGAGGATCACCTCCTCCCACATACCTCTGAAAGCTCAGAATTAACACCAAGAAATTGGGAAGAAACGTATTACCCATCAGATGACCAGAAACAACTGCAGAGGCATAAGAAATATGAGAAAACCTAGAAAAT